ACGACGTTTGACGAGATATCCGGTGGCGGCTTCAGCGACCCCTCGACACCAGAGCCCAAGTCGGTCACGCGCGCGGGGACCGACGAGCACAGCCGCGCGCAGAGCCAGGACCGGGTCTCCGTCCAGGGCTTCGGGCCGGGCGGCATGAACGAGCGGTGGCGCAACAAGGGCCGCGGCAGGGTCCTCGTCATCCTCGGTTCTCTGTACCTGCAGGCCGGCCGCTGGAGCGATGCGCTGAAGGAGCTCTCCGAGGGCGCGACGGTGGCGAGGTCCATCAACGACCACGTCTGGCACGGCAAGGCGCTCGAGCTCATCGTCGTGAGCCTGCTGCTCCTGGGATGGGCCCGCATTGAGTTCCAGGTGCCGGCGGTCTGTCTGCCCCAGGACAAGGCGAGCACGGCGAGCCTGGCGGCCAACGACGCCGCCACGCCGGACGACCCCTTGCAGCCCAAGTATCTGCGCAAGCTTCAGGTCGCGCTGCCGGATCTGCTCGAGCGCATCACCGGGCTGTATTCGAGGATCTCTGCCGAACACCTGCCGCCGCTCCCAGCAGCCGAGGTGACGATTCGATTTTGCAAGCTCCTGTCGGCTCTGCACTTTGCCGACGGCAAGCTTGGAGACCGGGCCTTTGCGAGCATGGTCTACGGGAAGCTTCCGGAGAAGCCCCTGACGACGGCACCGCGTCTGACCATCTCGCCGACCCGCCAGCAGATCGTGAACCAGCTCTTCCGCGCCTTCCCCTCGTCGGCGTCCGAGCTCCTGACGGTGATTGATCGCGCCACGATCCTCGCCGGCATCGCCTCGGTCCTGGGGCCTCTGGGCCACCAGCGGAAAAAGGCCATGGTCCTTCGCGAGCTCGTGTCGGTGCTCATCGGCGGTCTCGTCGAAGCCCGAACGCGCGGCGCCGCCGACGTGGGCATCCATCCGGCGGCCGGCCTCGTGGCTCTCAACGCAGCACACGGCCACAGCAACGGCGCCATGGCGCTGGAGCTCGGCGAGGGTGATGTCGAACAGGGCGTCGACGCCTTTCTCGGCATGCTCTGCAGGTCGTATGGCGTCGTGGGGTACGAGATGCACAAACCATTGGCGGAGACGGCCCAGGAAGACCCCGCGCTCGCCCGGATTCAGGGGCAGGCGGCGGCCCGGTTCTTTGGGTTTCCCGGCATCAAGCTGAACATTCTCCGAGCCTGCATCAACTTTTCCGAGGCGCTTCCCGACTTCAACGGCGTGCTCAAGTACTCGAGCGATCTGCTGCGGTCAGCAGGGTCCGGCGTGGCGCCCGGTCCGCGTCGCGAGGATGCCTCGCCGTCGATCTCCCGGGAGGAGCAGATTCGGCTGGCCACCAACATCGCCAAGACGTCGAATCTGTCGAGACGGCTGGGCCTGCAGCACCTCGCAGCGGAGTACTGGGACGAGTTCCTCGTTCGAGACGTGAGCCTGGACCTTCTGCCGAGCACGAGGATTCCCGTGCCCCACGCGAAAAGCACGCTGCCCGGCGCGGCGGCCGCGCGCACGTCGCAAGACGTCAACCCGTTCATCTATAACCCGTTCCTCAAGGAACCCGACAAAGCAGCCATTGAGCACATTCTGGTGGCCAACGAGCCGGCGACGTTCAGGGTCACGCTGCAGAACCCCTACGATGTCGAGGTGGAGATTGAGCATATCCGCCTCGGCGCGGAGGGCGTCGAATTCGAGTCCTTCTCCGACGCCATCGTGCTGGGCCCCTACCGGACGCAGGTCGTCAAGATGACGGGCATCCCCAAGGCGGCCGGCGCGCTGCGCATCACGGGCGCCGTCGTCCGCATCCACGGCTGCCGCGAGCGGCGCTTCCCCATCTTCAAGCCGCCCTACGCGCCCGAGGGCGAGGCCAAGGTCAAGGCGCTCGGGGCGGCGGCCCTCGAGGAGAGCGTCGCGTCGGCCGTGTCGAGGGCGCCTCAGCTGGCAACCAAGACGATCGGGCTCCACGTCATCGCCCCGCAGCCTATGGTCGTTGTCAAGTCGACGACGCTGCCGCAGTCGTCGGTCATGGTGCTCGAGGGCGAGAAGCACGTCTTCTCCGTGACGCTGGAGAACCTGTCGGCGACGACGCCAGCCGACTTTATGCTCTTCTCGTTCGAGGACTCGACGCAGGCGGCGCTGCAGGCGGCCATCAGCAACCGCGACGCCACGCCGGCCGAGCTGTACGAGTACGAGCACATGCTCATCAAGCGGCAGGCGCTGCGCCGGCTCGACAAGACGACGGCGCGCTTCATCGCGCCGGGCGCCACGGCGACGTTTGCGTTTGAGATTCTCGGCAAGCCGGGCCTGACGAGCGCGGCGCTGCAGATCGACTACGCGCACCTCGGCGTGCCCCCCGAGGCCATCGTCGACAAGTTCCACACGCGGCGCGTCTCGCTGCAGCTGGCGGTGACGGTCAACGCCAGCGTCGAGCTCGCGCGGCTCGAGGTGCTGCCGCTGCACGGACGCATGCCGGCGGCGCTCTGGGCGTCGCTGGGGGGGGCCGGCACGACGTTCGAGGACCGGGCCACCTCGTCGTCGGACGACGCGTACTGCCTGCTGACGATGGATCTGCGCAACGCCTGGCCGAGCCACGTCAAGGTGACGGTCGAAAACGACGACAAGGGGGACGACGAGACGGACGGGGACGGCGGCACGACGGCGGTGGAGGAGCACATCCTGCCGGGCCACACGGCACGCGTGGTGATGCCGCTGCGGCGCGTGTTCCTCGAGGACCCGCACGCGTCGATCCCGGCGCTCAACCCGTCGCGGCAGCGCCAGTTCGTCGTCAGCACGAGCAAGATTCCGCCGGACGTCGAGAGGGTCAACCGCGAGGCGTTCTGGTACCGCGAGCGGATGCTGCGCGGGCTCCGCGCGCGGTGGACGACGACGTCGGGCCCGCGGCGCAGCGGGTTCGTCGAGCTCCGCGGGCTGCGGCTGACGCCGCGCATGCTCGAGGCCGTCAAGGTCGACGACGTCGGCGTCGACATTTCGGTGGGCGGCGGCGGCGGCGCCGATGGTGCGGTCGAGTCCGAGTCCGAGTCCGGCGACGGGAGCAGCAGCGGCGGCGGCAGCCACGAGGTCGTCGTCGACGCCTTCTCGCAGCTGCGCGTGCGCGTGACGAACCGCACGGCGCAGGCCGTGTACCCGCTGCTGCGGCTCATGCCGTCGCTGTGCCACCGGCCGCTCAACGTGGCGCTCGACTTTACGCGCAAGGTCAGCTGGAACGGCACGCTGCAGCAGGCGCTGCCGGTGCTGGGGCCGCGCGCGACGACCGAGGTGGTGCTCGGGTTCACGGCGCTGTGCCGCGGCGCGTTTGAGGTGACGGCGTCGGTCGAGGAGTACCAGGTGTGGGCGGCGCCGGCGAAGGAGGCCGGCGAGACGACGGGGGCGACGGAGAGGGCGCGGCGGCCGCGGTCGGACACGCAAGCCATGCTCGACGCGGCGCTCGGCGTCCAGGAGCGGCGCATCTGGCACTCGCGGCAGCCGTGCGTTGTCGTGGCGAGGGATGCGCCGGAGTAGCAGAGCGTGCGATGGCATGGCGTGGCATGCGCATGAAGAGGGGCGTTCATGAGCATGAGCAGGGGCATTCATGAGCATGAGCAGGGGCATTCATGATCACGATGGCATGATGGATGGATGAGCGGCGAGGCGCTGTATTGACTATGTTTATCATGGCATGTGGTTGTAGCGTGTCCCGTGGTGTATGTCGACGTGCCGTTCCGTGAGGGTGACTTGCTGTGTCCGATGGGGGCCGATGGGAGGTTGTCTCTCTCGGCGAGGAATTGGCTGTCTTTGTCGAATACATGAGGGCGGACGTCCCTATGCAGTCAGAGCAGCGCCATCAGCTTAACTCATTTAGAGAGGAGAACCGCTCATCGGCTTTTACTTGATCATCTAGAGGGTAGAGACGGTCATTGGCTTGTATTCCATCATTTCGAGAGTAGAGACGGCCATCAGCTTTTACTTGGTCATCTACAGAGTAGAGAACAGTCAGTAGCTTTTACCTTGTCCAGAGAGGTGACAACGGTCATCAGCTTTACTTGGCCATCCAGGAAGTAGACAACGGTCAGCTCGTGCTTGGAATCTGGAGAGTAGAGACGCCATCAGCTTTCTTTATCATCTAAAGAGTAGAGAAGACAGCGGCAGGACGTAGAGTATGGTGTACTCGTGATGGCGCGGTGGACTGGCTTCGAGGCTGGCGGCCGATGTCCACTCATAAATGAAGCGATGGTTCATGGGACAGCAATCGGCTCTTCATCTAGTGGTATGCAGAATGCCTCTGGGATTGTCTGGTGAGTTTCGATCCAGTCTTGTTGATGTCGCGCGTCACCACGAGGATGGACAAGAGCATACCCTCAGCACGATGCTATGATCAGGCGCCGTGGTCATGTCATGGGCCACCTACAGCAGCCTCTTCCAACTGATTTGTCCATAGTCGTCCGTACTACGCAGACGGCTATTCATGGCACCCGGTGTCATGGCAGCAGTTCAGCTGATCGGGACGCAGGCGTCACGGCAGACGTTGATAGTTCGGTACGGATCAGGCAAATCGAGGATACAATGCCGTTTGCCAACATACAGTCACGTCTTCTGCAGAGCATGCGCATGTTGCTGTCCGAGGTACGCCAATGAAGTTGCGATGAAGCTTGCGATGAAGCCTTCACAGGCATTCACAGGCCTAGCGATACAGCTCATGTCAACCCTTCCCAGACCACGAATCAATTGATTCTATCGTCAAGGTTCGCCGCTTGAGCGTCGGGGCTAATCCCGGCGCTACCCGACCGACTTTTCTGGAGCCGATGCCGACTTCAGTCCACTTGACTCTCTTCCTCTTCACCCACACGACTTCAGTCGGCTCTACTCTCTTCACCTCACTCGACTTCAGTCGACTCACTCGACTCCAGTCGACTCACTCGCCTCACTCGACTCCAGTCGACTCCCTCGACTTCATCTTCACCCTCACCCACTTCACCCACCCCCAGACCGCCCAACACGGCAGCATGAGGCCGCAGATCCTCTTCCTCGATGCCTACGACTCCTTCACCAACAACATCGTCTCGCTGCTGACGACGCTGCTCGACGCCGACGTCCACGTCCTGCCCATCGACACGCCTCTGCTCGACCCCCAATCGCCCGACTTTGCCCATGCCTTTCGCCGGGAGCTGGCCCACTACCATGCCGTCGTCTGCGGGCCCGGCCCCGGCTCGCCCGACCACGCGGCAGACGTAGGCCTCATCCGCGCCGTCTGGGCCCTCGGCCACGATGATCTGCTGCCGGTGCTCGGCGTCTGTCTCGGCTTCCAGTCGCTCGTCCTCAGCGCCGGCGCCGGCGTCCGCCGTCTGCGTCGCGGTCTGCACGGCATGGTGCGCCCCATCGACCACGACAAGCCCGCCGCCGTGACGCGCAAGCTCCAGGGCGACATCTTCCACGCCGTGCCGCCCTTCAGCGCCACGCTCTACCACAGCCTCTGCGCCGACGTGGGACAGGACGCCGTGCCGGCGGCCGCGTGGCCTGCGCGCCGCTGGGACGCGCCGCGCGAGGCCCCCGACCTGCTGCCCCTGGCCTGGGCCAGCGAGGACCGAGGCGACGGCGAGGCCAGCGAGCGGATCCTCATGGCCGTCAAGCACCGCGCGAAGCCCTTCTGGGGCGTGCAGTACCACCCCGAGTCGGTCTGCACCCACGCCGCCGGCCACGCCGTGCTCCAGAACTGGTTCCGCGAGGCCATGCGCTGGAACGCCGCGGCCCGGCGCGACGTCGGCGTGGCGGACGCCCATGGCAGCCCCCGTCTCGCGCGACATGCCACGCGGCCGAGCCTCCTCGCCGACGTCCGTCGCCTCGCCGACCAGCACAGCGCCGAGGTGCCGTGGACCGAGACGATGTCGCCGCTCGCCACCGTCGGGCTCGACTGCGCCTACACGCGCAAGACGCTGGCGCTGCCGTCGCACCTCCGCGTGCCCGACCTCGTCGAGATGCTGCGCCGCGGCACGGCGGCCGCGTCCGAGCACATCATCCTCGACTCGGCCAACGCCGACAAGCTCGCCAGCGGCGCCGCCGACGTGCGCGGCCGCTACAGCATCATTGCTCTCGACGTCGACGAGGCCCTGCGCATCGAGCACCGCGTCGGCGACGCCTTCGCCACGGCCCGCATCCCCTGCATCCAGGGCGTCGCCGTCGACCGCCAGGAGACGGTGCCGCTGACGACGCACCACAGGACCATCTGGCAGCTGCTCGCCGACTTTGCGGCGCGGCGCACGCTCGCCGCTGACACTACCCACGATCCCGACACCGACGACACCGACGACACGCCGTTCCGGGGCGGCTTCATGGGCTACGTCAGCTACGAGATGGGCCTCGCCGGCATCGACGTCGACGTGGCGCCGGCGCACGTGCGCGGCCACCGCCGGCCCGACCTCTGCTTCGCCTGGATCACGAGGAGCCTCGTCGTCGACCACACGCGCGGCCTGCTGCACGTCCAGCACCTGCAGAACCGCAAGCTCAACGCCGACTTCTGGATCGACGCCACCGTCGCCGCGCTGCAGGCGGCGCCGCACTGGACCGCCGACCGCGTGCGTCCGGCGCCGGGACTGTCGGCCGCCGTGCTCGCCGGCGTGCGCGTCACGACGCCGTCGGCCGCCGCCTACGACGCCAAGGTGCGGCGCTGCCAGGACCTCATCGCCGCCGGCGAGTCGTACGAGCTGTGCCTCACCGACGAGACGACCATCTCCATCCCGCGGCCCTCGCCGTCAGGCATGCCGCGGTCCTCGTCACCAGACGCGGGCGCCGACGCGGGCGCCGACACGGCCTGGACGCTCTACCGCACGCTGCGCACGCGCCAACCGGCGCCCTTTGGCGCCTTTGTCCGGCTCGGCGGCGCGACGGTCGTGTCGTCGTCGCCGGAGCGGTTCCTCGAGTACGACGCGCGCGGCGCCTGCTCGATGCGGCCGATGAAGGGCACGGTGCGCAAGTCGGCGGCCGTGGCGACGCTCGCCGCCGCCGAGGCCATCCTGCACGTGCCCAAGGAGGAGGCCGAGAACCTGATGATCGTCGACCTCGTGCGCCACGACCTGCACGGCGTGTGCGGGCCCGGCCGCGTCGCCGTGCCGCACCTCATGCGCGTCGAGGAGTACGCCTCCGTCTTCCAGATGATCACCGTCGTCGACGCCCGGCTGCCCGACCGCCGCCGCCGCCGCCGCCGCCACGGCCAGGCCCAGGCAGAGGCAGAGGCAGAGGCAGAGGCAGAGGCAGAGGCCCCCCACACGGGCCTCGACGTGCTGGCGGCGAGCCTGCCGCCGGGGAGCATGACGGGCGCGCCGAAGAAGAGGAGCTGCGAGCTGCTCGCCGAGCTCGAGGGGCGCGGCGAGAGGGGCCTGTACTCGGCCGTCATCGGGTACATGGACGTTACGGGCCGCGGCGACTGGAGCGTCACCATCCGGACCATGTGGCGGTGGGACGACGAGGAGGGCCGCGAGGAGGGCGACGTCTGGCACATTGGCGCCGGCGGTGCCGTGACGATCCTCAGCACGCCCGAGGGCGAGACGGAGGAGATGTTCACCAAGCTGGCGGGGCCGCTGGGCGTGTTTTCGCAGTAGCTGGCAGTAGGTGACAGTGATTGACAGTAGACGGCTGGAATAGATCGGCAGTATACGAGGAGTTGGCTGGCGAGACTCAACACGGATAGAGGTGCATGGGCTGGCGTTAGGGATACTCAACGTATCGGCACGGGATTATTTAGACATGTCAGAATTTCAGGATCTCAGGATCTCAGGATCTCAGGGTGAAGCTTGCATCATGGTGATTCGACCCCATGCTAGATGGGCCTTGGTCCTACATATACTGTATGCATGTTCATCATGGTCTCCTCAGTCTCCGTCTCCGTCCCGCTCCTAGCCTGCCAAGTCCGGCCCAGGTGCGCCCATGTACTAATACAGACCCGTAGGCCCTCGTGAAATCCTCGTCGTCCTCGTGTGCGCGTCGCCGTTCCGCGTCGTCTCCGCGTCGTCTCCGCGTCGCCTCCGTGTCGCATTTCTGCGTCCCTCGGACCTAAAACTCCTGCTCCTCCTGGAAGAACATGCCAAAGCTGATGATGGTGCCGTAGATCAGCAGACCACCGACGATGGACATGACGAGGGCGCCCGTCTGGATGAGGCCGGCGTGGGCGAGCACAAAGGGCAGCGCTACACACACAGGTCAGCATGCGGTCGTCCAGCCGAATCAGAGTACCAAAACCCACCAATACCCATGACGACGAGAAAGGCGGTGCAGAAGCGGCCGAGGTCGAGGATGGCGCCGCCCGCGCTCTCGACAAAGTCATCGGGGTTGGCGCAGCGCGAGCAGATCCAGTTGGGCACGGGCGCCAGGACATAGGTGGCGACGACGAGCAGCGGGTAGTAGACGTTGTAGAGGGCGCACGACAGGATGACGAGCAGGAAGCCGACGGCGAGGACGAACGACAGGGCGATGATGGTCTTGAGGCCGGCGGTAGGCATGGCGGGCGGTGGGTGGGCGCTGGCGCTGGCGGCGGGCGGGCGCTGGCGATGTTGTCGTATCGTCGTAGGATTCGGCAGCGACAGCGTAGCAGCTTCTGGCACGCGCGGTCCGGTGCGGATTCGTGGGATGCGATCGTCGAGGTGGGAAGCTGGAGAGGCTGGAGACTGGAAGTTGGGGCCATGTCGACAGCCTTGCCGCTTCGTCGGAGCAACGTCACCTCGGCCGATCCTCTTACTTGCATGAGTACTGTGTGCATGCGCACGAAAAAGGGTTATGCACCGAAAGGGTGTATGTGTATATGTATGCCGCACAGCCACAGTGACGCCACAGCCCCGCCGAGATGCTACGAAGCTCGAGCTGCCTGGCGCTGCTGCTCAACTGCAGCTCGATGGATGAAGCTCCCTCCGACCTACCTGACCAGACCATAAACCACACCCAGCCATCACCACCGCCCATCCCGAATCTATCCCTCCGACCTTGCCTGCCGCCCTCCCGAATCCATCAAGACATACACCCACGCCGGCACCAGCATGTTCAGGAACAACTACGACAACGACTCGGTCACATTGTACGCGTTCCCTCCTACACCATGCCTGGCACGGCCACGGCCACGCCCACCGCCGACCTCCCGCTAACACTGCGACAGCTCGCCCCAGGGCAGGATATTCCAGATCGAGTATGCCGCCGAGGCCGTCAAGCAGGGCTCCGTCGTTGTCGGCATCGTCAGCAAAACACACGCCGTCCTGGTCGCCGTCAAGGTATGCCTGCCTGCCCTGCCTATGCTGCCTGTGATGCTCCGTTGCACGGCGATGCCATGATGCCACACCGCTAACACGCGCAGCGCAACGCCGAGGAGCTCTCCTCGTACCAGAAGAAGCTCTTCTCCGTCGACGAGCACGCCGGCATCGCCATCGCCGGCCTCACCTCGGACGCCCGCGTCCTCTCCAACTTTATGAAGCAGCAGTGCCTCGGCCACCGCATGACCTACGGCCGCTCGATGCCGCTGCGCGCCCTCGTCGACCTCATCGGCGAGAAGGCCCAGATCAACACGCAGATGTACGGCAAGCGGCCCTACGGCGTCGGCCTGCTCGTCGCCGGCGTCGACGAGACGGGGCCCCACCTCTTCGAGTTCCAGCCCTCGGGCATGACCGAGGAGATGTCCGCCTTTGCCATCGGCGCCCGCTCCCAGATGGCCCGCACCTACCTCGAGCGCAACGTCGACGCCTTTGCCGCCTGCAGCCGCGACGACCTCGTGCGCCACGGCCTGCGCGCCCTGCGCGAGAGCCTCGTCCAGGACCGCGAGCTGACCGTCGAGAACACGAGCATCGCCACCGTCGGCTTTGCCGACGGCAAGAAGCAGCTCGAGCCCTTCCAGGTGCTCGACGGCCAGGACGTCAAGGTGTGGATCGACGCTGCGGCCGCGCCAGCCGAGGGCGAGGGTGACGGTGAGGGTGAAGGCGAGGGCGACGGGGACCGCATGACGGTGGACGAGTAGGATGCCGGGGGCTACAGGCCGAAGGGACGGCAAGCATTGTACTAGTAGATGGCCGTAGAGGGAATGAGCCGTCATGATGCATCGTCTGTGCCCGCGCATCATGTCGGGCAGCGTGCTTTTGATTTTGTTTCACCTAGTTCACGCTCACCATGACTTGATGAGCGACAGTCCAAGCGCATGAGAAGGCGTCAGTCAGCCTACGCCCTTGAGAAAAGGAGACAGAGAGAGAAAAAGTGGCATAGACCGAGAATGCCGTCTGTCTAGAATGCTACCGTACATAGAGGAAGCCTCGCGTCATGCTACCCGTCATGCTACCCGTCATGCTACCCGACCGAAACCTGTACGCCTGTTCCCGACACTCGTCCGGTACCCAGTCACCCTCAGGAGAAGGCAGGATCAAGACCATGGCAAAAACCGGGCCCGCCGGGCGAGCCCTAATCCGTAGACGCCAATACAGCCCGGCCGCACTGCATCAGACTGCTCGTTCCTCCCTCGACCATGTCCACGACAAGGCAGGCCGCTCACGTCTTGTTCCACTCGAGCTTAAACGTCGACGCGGGCGCCTTGTACTCGGCGAGGGCCTTGACGGCGCTCGCCGCATCCGGCGCCGTCACGAGGATGTCGGCGTTGCCGCCGCGGATGAAGCCCTCGTCGACGGCGCGGCGGATCCACGTGAGGATGCCGTCGTAGAAGCCGTCAATGTTGAGCAGGCAGATGCCGCGGTCGTGGATGCCGAGCTGGTTCCACGTCGCCGTCTCGAGCACCTCCTCGATGGTGCCGTAGCCGCCGGCGAGGGCGAGGAAGCCCGAGCCGGGCCCGCCGGCGAAGACCTCCTGGGCCATCATGTGCTTGCGCGTGTGCATGTCCTTGACGACCGTCGTGCGCCCGTAGACGGCCTCCTCGGGGATGCGCATGTTGTCGCCGTTGACCGACTGGTACGTGTCGTCGCGCTCAAAGCGCACGAGGGCCTCGGGGATGATGCCGTGGACCGCGTCGGGGCCGGCGAGCGCCACGAGCGACTTGGCCACCTCGCCCATGAGGCCGACTGTGCCGCCGCCGTAGACTATCGCATGTCAGTTTGGCCACATTCATGGTATCACCGGTCGCACGACTACGTGGGTGGATGTGTTTGGTGGGGGGATGCTTCGTGCGAGGTGTGCTTGTGCGAGGCGGGCTTGTGCGAGGTCGTTCAATCGCAGGAACGGCCCGATGATGGGAGACAGAAGCTGTACGGCCGATGATGGGAGACAGAAGCTGTACGGCCAATGATGGGAGACAAGCTGTACACGGCCAATGATGGGAGACAAGCTGTACGCACCGAGGTCAATGTTGTTCTCGGCCATGACCTTGGCCAGGGCGCGCGCAGCCTCCATGTGGGTGGGCTTCAGCCCGGCCGAGGCACCGCAGTAGACACAAATCTTGGTCCTCTTGGTGCCGTTGGCCGTGGCGGACGAGGGCGTGCCGGAGCGGGAGGCGGGGAAGGACGGGAGGGGGGAGGGGCCGCCGGAAGCCATTGCGTGTGCGTGGTCGCGTAGACGTGTGGGCGCAGCGTTGCGGGATGCCAAGCGGCTGTGAGACGAGAGGCGTCTGAAGAGAATGCGGCGATGGTGATGCACGTCTGGTCGGCTCAACAGCGTTGGTTGGCGTATCGTGCGTCAGAAGGCAAGGCGAAGGCGAGGGACGAGGACGAGGACGAGGCACTCGCTAGACGGCGTGGGGCCTGGGAAGGGACGTTCTGCCGTGAAGGACCGACCGTCTTGTAGAGAGTGACTTTGGACGAAGAAAGCGAAGAGGTGAAAGCGACACCACGTCAAGAAGGCGGTCTGCATCCAATATATGTAGTGTCAAGCATGAGGTAGACAGAAGAAGCCCCCCAACGAAGTCGAGGACGTCAAAGAGTGGCGAAGGCCGAGGACGCGCCTCAACCCCCCACCACAGCCATCGCATTGGGGGGGGGTCACAGGCCGTAGGTGTGTAGTCCGGCGTCCGGCCCTGACGATTGAGACATTGTGCTGCCAGGGACCGAGCGAGCGCGTGCGCGTAGCAACGGGCCGAGTTGAATCCAGCTCCTCCAGGGATGCCCAGATGCCTAGGGGGGGGGCCAAGTCTCCGATGGTTCCTCGTGGCGGGCAGGGCCCCGAGGGATCCGCCGATGGAGCCAGCTCTTGGGTTGATGGTGCAGGTGACGATGGTCTGGTGATGGGCTCTCGACGTTTCGGGAGCGTGCGAGTCATGATGTCTTTGCTGGTTACGTCTGTGAGCATGATGTTGAAGGTGAACCCTCCCTGCCTACCCAGGGACCTAAGCTCGCTAAGGCAAGGTACCTAGGTAGGTAGGTACCTAGGTGAGTACCTACCCGGGTGAGGACCTACCCGGGTGAGGACCTACCCAGGTGAGTAGTCCAACTGACCGTCAGTGGCTACAGGGTCTACAGGTCCCAGACTGCCGTGGTTCAGCCGGTGCTCGATCGTGGCGTGCGTGGGCTGCCGGCGCCCCCTGATTCGCCCAAGCGAGTGCCGCCCACAGGCCTGCCCTGGGCGCAGTGCAGTCGGCCTGCCGTGGGACTGCACTGCGCCCAGGGCACGAAGCCTGCCAAAGCCGGCCACTGACAGCGGACACCAGCACTGAGGCCAGGGCCAGATCCACCGTCTCGCAATCTATTCGTATCACGACCGTGGTTTGGTGGTCCTTCTTTCGACTTCCATCGTGCCCTCACAACGTGTCGCTGCCACTATTGCCGCATCCTCCCTCCGCGAGATTGCTCTGTCCTTCGCCAACGGCTTTGCCACAGGACCTGCATTCGAGCACCCTCGATCCGTCCACAGTCCTGCCGACACGCCCAGAGGCATCCCATCATGCCGCACGTCGATGCCCTCGCTGCCGTCGGCGGCGCCGGGCCTGCGCCTGCCGGTGCTCCCCAGCAGCAGCAGCCTCAACAACAGGGCGTGAGTCTTGGCCGCTCTTCTTGCCGTCGGACGATGGAACCATCGTCCCTGGAACCGTCGTCCCTGGAACCATCGTCCCTGGAACCATCGAGAATAGAACCATCGAGAATAGAACCATCGAGACAGTGCACTGACGAACCTAGGGCTTCACCATGAGCACCACCCAGAAGCTCCTCTTCGGCTTCGCCACCTGGTCCGCCATGAACTTCGGCGCCAACTATTTCCTCAAGAAGCCCGTCGGCGGGGCCACCGAGGTCACCGATCCCCACGGCAAGGTCTACACCGTCCCCGCCAACCTCGGCGGCATCCCGCCCTACGTCCTCCGTCCCAAGACGCTCGCCGACGGCGCCACCTTTGATCCCAACCCGGCCCGCATCGCCCCCATGTGGCCGCTCGACAGCCACATCGACATCATCGTCACCCTGTCCGACTCGCCGCGCCCCGAGCCCCTCGCCAAGACGCCTGCCGACAAGATCGTCCTGCGCGAGACCAACTTCCACCTCGGCAACTACAGCGACAAGCGCTCCGCCGACGCCACCTTCACCGTGCCCGCCTCCGTCCAGCACAACGTCACGCTCTGGGGCCACTTCTACCTCGCCCTGACCGGCGAGCAGCCCGACCCCTACGTCGCCGGCTTCGACGTCGCCTCGGCCTACCACTTCGCCTACCCTCTGACCCAGTACCTTCCCAAGAAGAAGGTCTCCAAGACGCGCTCCCTCTTGGACGGTGGTGACGCCGACGCCGACGCCGACGCCCGCGACGACGCCCCCAGCGGCCCCGTCATCGCCAGCTACTACCACCCCAACATCACGCTGTCCACGATCCCCGACTCGGGCGTCCTCGACCACCGCAGCCTGCACCCCGCGACCCGCCACTTCCTGCACCTCGAACCCACCGACGCCCGCGACGGCACCGGCCAGAACTCGTGGTACTGTGAGTACACACCTCCCGCCGAAGACGCCGAAACTGACAGTCCCAGACCCCATGCTCTTCGTCAACAAGTTCTGGCAGCTGCGGACGCACATGACCCTGCTCAACGACACGGTCACCGAGCTGCCCATCCACATTGACCTCGGCAACCTGCGCTACTGGCAGATGGGCCTCATGTCGTCCATCGAGCTGAGCAGCAAGGAGACGGCCCGCCAGGCCGCCTTTGGCAACGCCGCCCCCGGCGGCGGCGACGGCACCGAGGTCGAGATGGTCAAGGAGATTCTCCTCGACTCCAACCCCTACCTGCTCGCCATCACGGCCGTCGTCACCGTCGCCCACATCATCCTCGAGATGCTCGCCTTCGGCTCCGACATTGCCCACTACCGCAAGAAGAAGGACAACGTCGGCATCTCGGTCCGCTCCATCCTCGCCAACGCCTTCATGCAGGCCGTCATCCTGCTCTACCTCATCGACAACTCGGAGAACACGAGCTGGGTCATCCTCGGCTCCCAGGCCATGGGCATCCTCATCGAGCTCTGGAAGATCACCACCGTCGTCAACGTGCGCATCGCGACGGCCGACGCCGGCGCCCTCTTCCCCTACCGCATCGCCTTGGAGGACAAACACAAGCTCAGCGACACGGAGGAGAAGACCAAGGAGTACGACGAGATTGCCTTCAAGTACATGTACATGGCCGGCGTGCCCCTGCTCATCGCCTACGCCGTCTACTCGCTCGTCTACGACGAGCACAAGTCGTGGTACTCGTACATCATCGCCACCCTCGTCGGCTCCGTCTACGCCTACGGCTTCCTCATGATGGTGCCCTCGCTCTACATCAACTACCGCCTCAAGAGCGTCGCCCACATGCCCGCCAAGGCCATGATGTACAAGTTCCTCAACACCTTCATCGACGACCTCTTTGCCTTTACCATCAAGATGCCCATCCTGCACCGCCTCGCCACCTTCCGCGACGACGTCATCTTCTTCGTCTACATCTACCAGCGCTGGGCCTACACGACCGACTACTCGCGCGTCAACGAGTTTGGCCAGGGCGGCGGCGAGGACGACGACGAGGCCGACCGCGCCAAGGCCAAGGCCCTGCTCGACAGCGAGGCCGAGCCTGTCGTCGGCGCCGAGCCCGTCGTCGGCGCTGCGACGCACAAGGTGGAGGCCGCCGCCGAGAAGGCCACGGGGGCCGACAAGGGCAAGGCCAAAAGGAGAAAGTGAGGGGCTGCGCGGGGGAGCAAAAACTGGTGTAGGATAGGTTCGCAGGCACTGTGCCTGGGTATGCATACGGCGATAGAAGATATGGCTGGGTTGGGGGTTTGCTTAGACGGTCGGTCATGATAGTCACCAAGTACTGGCCATAATCACTGCGTACTGCCCATACAGTACTGGCCATAATCACTGAGCACTGGCCATAAAGTACTGACCATCATTCTTCGTTCATCATCCTTTCTCCTCGTGCACCCCAGTGCAGCCAATCGTACCATGACGCCTATATCTCATCCTCTTCATCATCGAAATCATCCTCCCGCCCCATCTCGTACAAGATCCGCCCGCCCTCGCCCGCCCCGATATCCGTCTGCGCGTCGAAATACGGCAGCACAATGCCGTCGCGGTCCCGCCTCTGCTTCTCCGTCAACCCGAGACTGAACGTGCTCGCCGGCTCGCCCTCGTCCTGCCCCGCGCCGCCCTCTGCCCCTCCTCCTCCTCCTCCTCCGGGCGGGGCAGGCGGCGCGAACGCAGCATGGTCCGCCAGCAACCCGACCCTCGACGCCGCGCCGCCGTCGCGCGCCGCGTAGAGCACGAAGCGCTCACGCACGGCGCGGCCGCTGCGTCGGCGGAGTTCCATGTCCACGACGGCGGCGCGGGCGTCCGCTGCTGTTGTCGTGGTGCCCGCGTCTGCTGCTGTTGCGCCGGCGCCGGCGCCGAATGTGCGGGCCTCGCTCTGCAGGCCGAGGAGCCCGCCCTCGCGGTGCGCGGCGAGGCCGAACTCGGGCTCCTGCAGGGCGCGGTCGCGGGCTCGTTGGCGGGCCGTCTCCTGCGACAGGGCCGACAGGCGCAGCAGGGCCGTGGCGAGGTGGGAGAGGGTCGTCAGCGGGTGGGGCTCGTACTCGGACACGGCGGCGGGGGGGAGGAGGAGGGGCACGTCGGTGTGGTAGACGGCCACGAGGGAGGTGGCGGGGGAGAGGAGGGAGGAGAGGAAGCCGGGGAGGTCGTGCGGGTGGGCGGTCGCCAGGTCGTTGAGCGAGTCGAGCAGCACGAGGGTGCCTGGGGTTTGGCATGTCAGCAAGTTTCCCCAGAGAAGAAAGGAGAAAGACTCACGTTGAGAGGGCTTGCGCTTCGCTTTGTCGGCCTGCTCGTCTGGTTTGGGGTAGTGGGAGAGAATCTCCGTCCGCAGAGCTGTGAGGGTCTTGCCGCGGCCCTTGACGAAGACGTCTATGTCACGGGGTTTCTTGAGGGTCGCAAAGGACAGGAAGATGACCTTGCTCTTGCCGATCTGTACTTTGTTAGATAGAACGAGGAGACACGGTCACGACGTGTTCCGGGATGACTGACCTTGGCTCTTGTGACGAACTCTCGGATGACAGGGGTTGCGCTCTGCTCGAGGTTGTCGAGTACGAGAGTCAGGGGACTCGAGCCATCACGGAGGTTGAGGAGCTTCTGCAGCAGCAGCAGGCTGTGTGAGCGGCTGTGCGACTGTGCCGACGGCATGGCCGTGTTGGCTGAGGATGTGTCTGAGGACGTATCTGAGGACGTATCTGAGGACGTATCTGAGGATATATCTGAGGATGTATCTGTGGTATGTATTCGTTTGTCTTTCTTTATACTCACGTCAGAGGTTCAATCTTCATGGCGCGTTTGACTGGTGATCTTGTTCGAGTGGACTGAGTGAGGCAAGGTCGTCATGAGTGGTGAGTGAGCCACTCGAATCTTTTTGCGCACCGCCACAGCCGATTCTCCACTTAAGCCGTACATCAACGGACCTTCCACTTCTACATCTTCATCGTCGTCGTCTTTGTCTTTCTTTCACTCTTGCAATTTATCGGTCATCTTGTTGAAACAGTGTTGCATTCAATCCTTCAACATCAATCTTTGGCATCAATCTTTGGCATCAATCTTTGGCATCAATCTTTGGCATCAATCTTTGGCATCAATCTTTGGCATCAATCGGCATCTGCTATCATTGACCCATGATCTCTTAACACAGCAAGACTCAGGCGTCCGTCACCTTGACGCCCACACCCGAGCCGACGACAACCTTGTTGAACTGCTTGCTCCTCTGGACCGGCTTCGGGTCGTTGAAAATCTCCTCGAGCTCCTCCAGAGACCGGCCCATCGTCTCCACGGACACGAACCACATGAGCACCCAGTGCACCACGTGCAGCGACAGCAGGATCGTGTACATCCGCCAGCCAATGTTCTCGAGACCCGTCGGGATGGCATAGAGGTTGATGAAGCCGAACAGCCCGGCGATCAGGTTGTTGGCCGCCAGCCCCTTGCCCCGAATGTCCGTGCTCAGCACCTCGGCAGGGTACAGCGCCTGCAGCGGCGTCCAGCAAAACGACGACACGATGCCGTAGAGGAACATCATGCCGATGAAGGCGTACCCCGACGCCCGCTCAATGTTGCCGTCGGCGAGGCCTGCGAGCACGTTGATGGGCACGTAGATGAGGCCCGTCAGGAACACGCCCCACAGCAGCAGCGGCCGCCGCCCGACCCTGTCGACGAAGAAGGAGCCGACGATGCCGCCGCAGAACGAAAAGACCGTGTTGAGGCCGTTCATCAGAAGCTGCTGCCGCGGCGACGTGATACCCACCGTCTGCAGGATCGTCGGCAGGTAGTACGAGATGACGGCGCCGCCCGTGAACTGCGAAAAGGTCGAGATGAGGAAGATGAGCCACATGCGGTACCGCGACGCCGCCGTCCGGAACAGCACCCCGTAGTCCCACCACTTGCCGTCGCGCAGCTCGGCGTTCGTCTCCACCGAGTACTGGATCTCCTCACACTCGAGCCGCACCACGGCCGAGTCGTCGTTGCCGTTGCCGTGGTACTTGACGAGCACCTTCTTCGCCTGCGCGTTGCGCCCCTTGCCGAAGAGCCACCGGGGGCTCTCGGGGATGAAAAACGCCAAGACGACCACGATCGTCGCCGGGATGGCCTGGATGATGTACGGGATGCGCCACGACATGTTGCCCTGAATGTTGGCGAGGCCATAGCACGACCAGCTGGCCGCTGAACACCCCGTGCCGTCAGCTGCTGTGCGTTGTGGGTAGGCGGCCGGGGGGGGGAAGGGGGGGAAGGGGGGCCGAGAATCGCAAACGTACTCAGAGATCCAATGTACCAGCCCAGCACGTTGTAGAGACCGCCGGCGAGGCCTCTCCAGGTGGGGAACGCCATCTCGACAATGTACATGGGCGCCGCCGTTGTGCACTGTGGCACGCCGAATCCGACGATGAAGCGGCCACCAATGAATGCCGCCAGTGTCGTCGACGACGCCTGCACGATGGAGCCGATGATGATGAAGATGGCCCCCGTGGCCATGCCCATGCGCCGCCCAAACGTGTCAACGATGAACCCGCTAAAGACGCTGCCGGTCGTGGTGCCGCCCGTGTAGATGGCCATGACGAGACCGAGCTGAGACCCAGTGTGCCCGACGCCAAAATAGTCGTGCCACTGCGTCATGGCGTTGATCGAGCTCATGACAGAGCCGTCGTAGCCGTTCATGCAGCCGTCTTTCCGTGGTCAGCTGGTGTTACCCTTCACACTGTTCTGGCAACTCCACAGCAAGCGGGAGGCACGTACTCAGGGTAGCGAAGAGCATGAGGGCATAGAGAGTGATCATGGAGCGGGACCTAAAGTCGGGCTGGTCCTTGGCGATGGCATCGGCGAGCTCGACGGACTGGACCTTGACCTCCTTGATATCGCTCTGCGTGTGGTCTGCTTCGGATACATGCTCTGCTCCGGCCTGTTCCTTGCTAGGCAGGATCTCGAGGGGGTGTTGAGAAGCCATACTGGGCCACGGCGGCGTTCCTTACTTGACCGACAGTTGTTCTGAGCCGCAAGTTGCTCGTGTAGCGAATGATGGAATAGAGAATGCCTCGGGGATGATCGTGACATACTTCGGTAGCGTTTATATAGTTTCCAAAGTGGTGTGCGCGTTGTCTCAACAAAAGGTATCTCCATTGTCGATCTATTGACATTGCTTGACAAACAAACCAGCGTTGCCCGCCATGCTGCTCGACCGCGCTGGACGCCCGCATTTCCCCACGGGGAAGCCCTCGTAGCGTCTGTTTGAGACCACAAGGGAGGCCAAGGCACGCGCTGCCAAGGACAGTCGCGCAGCATCACCTCATTGATCTACAGAATCCCGCACGAGGCTGGCCGCGGGTGAAGCTCGTGATGCCGAGAGGGGTTAAGACCGGGTTCTTAGACGGCGGATGAAGCGCACCCGATAGGGGCGGCTCAAAGAGGCAAGAAATCGTGTCGAGCATCAAGGGGAAAACTGTCGGAATACTCAAGGCGACTCGGCAGACCATGATCCTCTGCTCCCCCCCGCACTCTGAGGCAGTCTGGGGTTGGGGCATGTGGTGTGATGGATGCGTGTCGTTTCCAGTTCATTGGGTTCACGGCTCGGATTGTTCCCTCCTCGCGTGGTGCCCAGATTCGCCTGGGTGACAAGCATTAGCATCTAGCCTGGGGTTGAAACCGCCAATCACGCTACTTGTGAGCTCGGTTGGAGCTAGGAGATGTTGGCTCGGCATGGAGGATGCAGTGCATCAGGGTGGGTGGCATGATCTGGACTCATTGGCATCGTGGCCGCTTCCCGGCATGATATTCCCGACGGCTTTTGAAATGGCCTGGCTCAACGGCACAGCGGCTCACCCCACGACCCCGCCGCCGGGGGCCAACCTTCAGAGCGGGGGTTGCCGATGTGCTGTCGAGAATGCTACGTAGGAGCATGGAGCTATGGCAAGTGTCTCGGCATTGAAGCGCCGGCTAGAGGAGCGGATGGCGTACCGGGCCGAGAAACCTAGATCCGAGACCGGCAGCAAGATGTGTTCTATTCGATTGCTATACTCGGCGCGAGCAGCGTGTCAAGCAAGAGATTCCTCTCAAGACGTAGTACGCGACATGGATGTGGGACGAGTTGAGGGTAGACGCAGCTGGTGACGATGCTCCTTCAGGTGCTGGCAAGGCGACTGCTTGCTAGACTCGAGCTATTGTTGAGTCCAGCAGAAACTTGTGGTTGAATGCTTCACACCGGCCGTCTTATTTTTCAACGCACTTGGTGAATATGGACCTAGGCCAGCATGAATAGAAGCCAGATGTTTTCCTCTGTCAAGCCTCAGCCACGTAGGGAACCGACCCCTTGATCTCAACAGTGTCATGCTCCAGCGTAGATTCCTTGTCCTTGGCGGCTTGCTCGTCTTCGGTGGCGTCCTTGCCCGTCATAGCCTCGCCCTTGACAGGTCTCTGCATCTCAATCATCTCCTTCTCAACAGATATTTCCATTACAGGCGACTTTGGCTCTTCAGGAGGCCCATCCTCCGCAACAAACTCCTCTTCAACGCCATTGCTCGTATCCCCCGTCGTCTCGATAGTGCCGTTCACTTCGCTCTTTCCGTTCGTCGTTGCACTCAGCTCACGGCTCGTACTTCCATCCTCCCGTCGAACACTGAGACTTTTCTTCATCTCATCAGGCAGCTTCACGCCCCACTCCTCCTCAAAGTGATGCTCGAGATACTCCTCGTACTCCCCCGCAGCGCGCTCGTCGTGTGCAGACCACGCCTCCTCAAGCCACTGGGGATCGTGCTTGCCGTCGCCCAAGTTCTCGGCATACATGGCGCAGTCATGGCGGAACGAGTCGTCGGAGGCGAGGCTTGCCATGTCCGGACGAGCCTCGGGCGTGCCGGCGTCTAGCATGGGTGTTCCCGCCGGCAGCAGCATGATGATCTCGGCGCGCTCGTCTGCCGTGAGGATCTCCCAGGCGGCGGGGGCGCTGAGCATAGCCTGCGTGGATCAATTGTCTGATTCTTGGCCTGGGGAAGGCGACTCTGCGCTCAAGAAGCTCACGTACCCTGATGTCTCCGTTCACCAATGGCGATTTTGCATTCGTGAGAAGGTCTTCGGCGGACCAGTTCTTGCGCCGTGTGACTTTTGGCTTCTTGATGATGACCTTGGTGGCTGTCGTGGTTGATGGTGCTTTCTGCGTAGCTCTCGGCTGGCGGCCAGATCTGCGGAGGGGGGCCATTTCGCCTGTTTGTTCGGGCGAGAAAGTTGGAATGTGTGTAGGGGACTTGTGCTCGTGGGCGGCAGCAAAAGGCTCTTCGAGCTGAGTTTCAAGAGGTGCCGTTTCTTCCTTTGTTGGAAGATTTCTGTTCGTTAATGACTGGTCGACTGGGGAGGTGTCTCTGGTTGGTGAGAGCTCGCAAGCGGAGTTGGATTGTTTCGTTTCAGGTGAAGATATCCTTGGTGAGGGCTCTGGACTGTGGTCTGATAATATACCTGGCCAAGACTCATGTGGCAGACCTTGCATTTCGGATGGTGGAAGAGACAAGCCAGAAGACGGCGAGTTGGCTGGTGGAGCATCAGCCATGACGGCATCCTTGTTGTTTGCCATTGTTGGGGGTGGTTATGCTCTATTGTTTCATTGATTGAAGGTCGATGCTTCGGTACGCATAGAATAACAGGTTTTGCAGACTCTAAAGCGTCCATGCGTCAGATTGGTCGGATGAATATAGGAACCAGTGGCTATTGTCTCATGAGGCTCTGGGTTGTGACTTGTAGAAGGCACATGACCAAAGGAGAGCGATGACTTGGCGAACACTCTGCGAGGCACCAAATCACCTGTCATCTATAAGCAGTATACAACGAAAGGAGCTGTTTCTTTTGGGAACCTCCGCTTGGACGGCGGGGCTTCATAATGGCAGCTCTGCGATGCTGCTTTCGGCATGTCAAGGCAAACCGTCCGTGTCGTTCGTTGTTCAGTGTCATGATGCTTAGCCACAGAGCCACATCTCCATCGCATCACCAGCCACGAACTTAGGCCTAGAAGCTTGACCCCTGTCGACGGCCTGATTGGCTGCTCGCTGAGCGCGTGCCATCATCGCCGAACCTCCTTTCGGTGATCAAAGACCTGGCCTGGACCCTGGTAGTAGGACGACGACCTCTACGTCCAGCATTGATACCCCTTTGACATATATCCCCTTCTGTCCTGTTCTGGTGCGTCTGCCTGCATTGGTACATTTATAACGTTCGTCTTGCTCGCCACACCACCGATCACGAGCTCTTCCTCACCAGCCTTCCCAAGAGGACACGTCGATCTGTCGCCGTGCAGCCTCGAATACATCAGGCATCGCCGCCCGCAGCTACACCCCATTCCCACGCACCACAACCACCAGCACAGCCAAAATGAAGTCTATTCGGTCAACACAAATAGCGAGGCTCGACGGTACGCTCGACAACGTCACTCCAGCCAGACTGATCTAACATTGCTCCGCAGGCCTCATGCTGTGCGCCTCGGTCGATGACGAACACCAAGAAGGCGACGTCGTCGAGATCAAGAACCAGATCCGCGCCGTCCTCCGCAAGGTCACCCGCAAATCCGAACCCCGCGCCAGCCTCGAGCTCGGCCAGGCAACCCTCAAGTGCGGCCTCCCCCTCCTCATCAGCCCCCCGGTTTGTCGTAGTCAACCACTGATCCCGCCCGCAGCTACCTCATCGAAAACGACATCATCTTCCTCACAATCACAGACAGGCAGTACCCGCGCAACCTGACCTTCACCTACCTCTCCGACCTGGCGACCGAGTTTCAAAAGACGTACCCGCCGGCGCAGCTGCAGTCGCCGACGCTGCGGCCCTACGCCTTTATGGAGTTTGACACGTTCATCACCCGCACAAAGGCCACCTACTCGGACGCCCGCGCCGCCAACAACCTCGACAAGCTCAACGACGAGCTGCGCGACGTCACAAAGGTCATGACCAAGAACATTGAGGACCTGCTGTACCGCGGCGACTCGCTCGAGCGCATGGGCGAGCTGTCGTCGCGCCTGCGCGACGACAGCAAAAAGTACAAGCGCGCCGCCGTGCGCATCAACTGGGAGCTGCTGCTCAAGCAGTACGGGCCCATTGGCGGCCTCGGCCTGTTCATCATCTTCTTCCTCTGGTGGCGCTTTTTCTGATTTTTCGCACCCTCATCGATTTAAGTACTTTGGTTTTTGGAACGCGGAGGGAACCAGTCTTGGAGCGGGTGCATATCACGTTTGTGGGGCAAAGGGTCGCCATGAGAAGAGAGCTGTGCAGACGACATATCGGCCGGACACCGAAAAAAAGAAGACGTGCCCCTGTCGGGGCCACGCAACATTTGAACTACATAAACCATTGCCTAAACCCCCCCCTTGCCAACCAAGAGGTTCCATCCTGTAAACGCCGTGAAGGTGAGAAAGAAAGCCATTTGGATCGCTCCCAGCGTCAAGGACATAATGTGCCGTGCATATCCAAACTCATGTCCCATCATGGCCTCGGGGACTACCAGTCCCAGGCCTTCCGTGTAAACGTGTCACATTAACACACAACTTGCGGGCGCTGACGGCACCGGCACGCTTGGCAGACCCAAAGCCGTGTGCTGCCATGCCAGGTGCTCCTCCAGCGCCCCGAGATCGTCCAGCACCAAGTCAGCGTCGGCATGCCACCCGCCGCCTTCGTCCTCTTCCTCGCCTTCGGGTGGCGTGTAGTCGGCTGGCGGCTCATCACACGCCGGGCATCGTAGCTGCGCAACCCAGTCACCCTGCGCTGGGGCGACATGGTTGGCGATCGCCAGCGGCGCAAAGACGACGCTCTTCTCCGTATGCGTCGACACGCTGAACCCGGTCGCCTGCCAGTGCACTATGCCCGGTGGCGTCTCTTGGGGGAAGGGCTGCGCTATCCTCGGGCCTGGTGGCGCATCGGCCACGTCTGGTGTTTCCACGGCGGCAGCCGCTACAAGCTCCTCGTCCACGGTGCGCAGCGATGGCATTCCCTCTAGATCCTCCCAAACAATATGACCATCACAAAAATCGCAAACAAAGGCAATATCGCGGTCGCCAAAGCGCTCAAAGTTGCCAACAGCGTTGCAGGCGGCCAGCTCCTCGAGGTGTCGACGATGGTCCTCAATGCTGTCGTCAGCAGCCGAATCGGCGATGCGGTCATCATTGGGAACAAGCGTCGAGCCCTGGCGACGATGTCGGTGCGGCTGGGTCGGCGTGCGAGGCGTGGGGGGCTGTTGTGGTTCTTGACCAGGCGCCGCCGCACCGGCGGCTGCCCTGGACGCTTCGGCGGCCTTTTTGCGGTCACGCAGAGTCCATGCGCGCTGCTTGCGGTAGACGAGAAACGCACCGAGACAGCGGCTCGAAGAAGCTTCCTGCTTCGTAGCGAAGATGCGACGAGCGGCACGACATTGGGCGCGATGGAGTTGGCGGCGGAGGTCAAGGGTGTCGCGAGCCCAAATGGGGTTAATGGGGCCGCCCTGCCGAGCCCAGTCGCGGAAATTTGTGGTGTGAAACTGGAAATTGGTCTTGAGGGTGCGCAGCTCATTCAAAGAATCGGCTTTTCGAGGTCAGTCAGGCCCCCGGAGCAAGAGGCAATGGTTGTGGTGATAGCAAGGGTGACAATCACATGGTGGGGGGACACTCACGCTTGCGATCATACTGATAATAGCGCTGGCCATTGACCAGCACGGATAGCTCCTGGTAGTCCTTCTTGGCCTCATCAAGCGCGTGCTCGAGGCGGCGACGCTGCTCATGCTCGTCGGGGCCCCATTGGGACTTGTCGGCGCATTGCAGCACACGTAGGCTGTCGATGATGGAGTTCGCGATGTCAGCCAGAAGGGAGCCGACCGTGTCGTTGCTCATGGTTTGGGGGGCAGAGAGCCAGTGGGTGGAGGCCGAGGTGTTGCGCTGGCTGGTCTGGGCTGGGGGCTGACCTGGCCGGGCCTCTCTCTGCTCTCTGTCTCTCTCTCCTCGTGCGGTGTGTTGTGAGTGAGGGAAGGGGGGGGATTGTCTCCCCCAGCGTGTATGACAGAGAAGGAGAAGAACGATGAGGATGGAGGTGGATAGCTGGCCGACGAAGCCGCCGTGAAGCCAATGGCGGGAGGGACCCTGGCAAATCTGCAATCCGCAATCCGCAATCCGTAATCCGCAGCCCGTGTTGGCAAGCTTGTTCGTGTCTTGGGAGGGGACTTGGATGGCTGATGCTGATGGGGAGGGACCTATGCTCGTGCTCTGTCCTGTGGCCTGTGGCCTGTACTCCGTGCCACGCCTTGCCAAAGGCACCCCAGAGCCGACTCGGCGTGCCGCGTCGCTATTTGGGAGCTCGGTTGTACCTGGCCACGTATTGCAAATGGGCCAATACCTCATAGGCACCAGAATTCAAGGGCCCTACTACAAGCAGGCAGGTCTCCACTGCAACAGCAACAGGGCTGGTACCTATTTAGCGTCGAAGGCAGTGCTGACCTCACCTCAGGTGCTCTTCCCTCAAGGCCAGTGTCGTGATGGCCCGTGGGTCATGCATGCTGCCTTCTTCGTTCTTCGTTCAATGGGCTCCCTCCCAGTTCGACCATTTTTGGCTCAGGCGCTACCAAAGCTTACTGGCCTGGATACCTGCCTACCTACCTAGGTGAGGTGCTCAGGCGAGGAACGAAAATCCCGGACTTCGTGTCAAGCATTCCCACACCTGGGGAGCACCTGACTGACTGACTGCTGACAGTTCATTGCTACTGGATTCTTAGACGCCAGATCGTCAGGCGTAATGCACAGCACTTGCCGTTATGTTTCACAAGGGAGCCACGCCGGCGGAACGAGGGAGGAACACATCTGGGGCAGGAGACGTGGGCTGCGTACGTGTCTGCGTACGCGGTGGGGGCGCCTCACCCTCAGGGTGGCTTGGGGGCAAAGAGGCCTGGAGCCATCAGCCGCGGCGCGCCGTCCCTTCCCCCCTCCGTGGCCGGGAAGCCCAGCGCCCCCGGGGCTGATGGGGGTGGCCCAGTCGATGCTGCGACACGCGAAACAGATCGACATCCATGCTGGGCCCCTATTCAACTCGATCTTCGTCAGGAGAGACCCTTACCAGAACCTTCTCACCTCATCGTGGTCTTGGAACATGGTCTGGTATTGCATACCCTCCTATACGTGACAGCTTGTGTTCTGCCTGACATTGTCACACGCTATGATTGTCAATCATGCTCTCGGTGCCCCGTGTGGCTAATGTAGTGACTCGCCGTGGATAACCACTTGGTGTGACGGCACGATGACCTGAGCCTCACCAGTATCGATTTGCGATTTGCGCCTCTCAAAATATGCTCATAACGTCCTGCTGGTTATCACGGGCGTCTTGACCGTGGTTGTCTTAGGGCTGAGAATCATTTCTAGGTCATTCCCTCACTTAAAGCCCTCCCCCACTCTTACACGCGAAAGTGTTTGCAGCTGTTTGAGGCGCCGCTGTTCCCTCCAATGGTCACGATGAGGTCCAAGTGTTGCCAGATCAGAGCCATGGCCACTGCTTGTAGCTCGGGAGGCTCTGTTCCCAGTCTGGTTCGCAGGGTTCATTCTGACCAATCTTCAGTCGTCCACAGACTTGCTTGCTGTTGCTTCTGAGTTGGTGTTCACCCGTATACAGCCAGCGACTCGGGAGACTCTGGGTCCGGGAACAGCATCATGCACGATGACAGAGATTTGTGTAGTATCAACGTACATGCGTGGAACTCCAGTCAGGAGGCTGACTCGAGCTCCTCACGTTCATTCGGCTTTGGTGTTTGATCATCGTGCTGCCAACGACCTCGTACACCAAACTCTTGAACAGTGACCACGAGACGGGGGAAAGCAAGGAGTCTTTCGATACATTCTTGGCACCATGTCAAGTACGACTGCAAGGTGGTTGATGGAGCCATGGGCTCATCCTTTTTGACCGTGACAACCATCCCATCCCAGTTCTCGAACAACTGTACAAGTGAGTATTCTTCGAGCTTCTGACATCCCACAAGCTTCGTTCGAGGCACAGCTACCCGAGGAAGATCCGAACGCTGTCCTGGCAGGACCTGGACAGCGTTCGTGGGTCCAAATCTCCGAGATACCACACATGGCCGAGCTGCTAAACTCGGCCGAAAACTGGCTGCTGTTGCCTTCGTAAGCCACCCAAGTGTCCGTTTGGGCAAGGCGACTTGTTGAGCAATTCCCGAATAGTGATTGGCCTCACCGTATCCATTCACTCGAGCCCCCAGTGGGTCCTGAGCTGCCTAAAGTGGATCCCCGCCGGAGTCGACAGAGTATAAAAGAAAGCCTCCCATCCTCCCTTTGCCTGTTTTCTCTCTTTCTTCTTTAGCTCTCTTTGCCTTTTGGCTTAGGTATGCAAACTTTCAACCTCAACCTCTGGAACCTTTGCTAATCCATTCTCTACAGATCAAGTGTAGTATCTGTTCTTTTCAGATTAGTCTCTGAAATCCTTCTACGGAAGGAACAATGACTAATTTTATTTTTGAACTCAGGAGAGCTTCCTCTTTGCTTGCAAATGTAGCTCTCCACAGTGTCCCCAGTATCACACTGCCTCTGGGCGACGCGAACCTTTTTCATTGCTGCTGTGGCTTGCCATGGCTGTGAAGAGGAAGACGTACGTCCGGGATCGAGCGGAGGATAGTACTGTCAAGTTGCTCCGTTGGAGCGGGCGAGTTGTGTTATGGTAGATCATCGTCTGAATAGTCCCTAGAGATAACGTTTCACGCCCATGGAATATCGAACTACTGGAACCCCAAGCATCCAACAGGCTCAAGCAGACACCAATCTTCCCGGGTACTGGCTGTCCCAAGACGGCCCGGCTGAACTGCTTCCACATATTGACTTGTCTCACGTGTGCGTTTTGTGCCCGCCACTGCGTTGACGTACACCAACCATGACCTTCCCTAGCTCCCATTGCTTCATCTGTACTGGACGACCTAGGTTTGAGTACTGAGCTGAGGCGTTTACTGAGCTGAGGTGTTTGCTGAGCTGAAGCGTTTACTGAGCTAAGGCGTTGTTCTTTTGTCAAGCACGCAGGGCCATCTCTCCAGGACATGCATTGCCTCATCGTGTATGATTTCTGTCAGTGCTCCACCGTTGACAGATTTCCAGCCACCGACACAGCCACACCGCCATCTTTCTCAGGTGTCCAGAAGCGAATGTGGATGGAAACTGCTCCTACGGCGGGCCACTAAGCTAAGCTCAATGCTAAGTAAGGTGCACTTGTAAACCTTGACTGACATTTTCTCTCTCCATCTTCCGACCTAATTGCCATCACCATTATTTACACCCACCAGCCCGTGCAGCTCTCACTCCACAAACCACCCAAGATGGACAGAAGACGAGACCGTGACGGCCCTTCCGACCGGCGACCCCCCCGTGGCCCCCCCCGCGACGGCGACCGCCCGCCCCGAGACCGCGACGCCGACAGAAGCGATCGCGACCGCCGCGACAACCACCGCCGGGACGACAGGGACGACCGCAACAGACGCTACCGCTCGCGGTCTCGCGACAGGCGTGACAGGCCGCGCGACGACCGTGAGCGCGACGGTGGGCGATCTGGCAGGGGCCACGGGCGCGACGGGGACAGGAGGCGCGAGCACGAGGAGCGGCCGAGACGGAGAGACGATGACGAGAGGGCACCGCCCAGGCGGCGGGACGACGATGAGCGTAGTAGGTATTTCCTGGTACGCTTCCTGGGACTTTCATATACTAACGCAACGATAGATCACCGCGACAAGGAGCGTCGTCGTTCGGCGTCGCCGCGCCACGGGTCCGCGAGTCCGCCGCCGCCGCCGAGACAAGCTGAGGGACGACATGCCGAGACGCTGCCGACGCGCGGCAAGTTGGGTGACCGAGGCAGGAAAGAGCAGCAACAGACCATGTCCTTCAAGGTGGGCGGAGCGCGAGATTCGCCGCGACCGGACAGCGTGCGCAGCAGCGAGCAGCCTGAGGGGGATGCGCGCATGGACGAAGACCGGGACGAGCGCGAGGAGGGCGAACAGGAAGAGGATGACCTCGAGGTTGAGGGGGACGATGCGATGGCGGCCATGATGGGCTTCGGCGGATTCGGCACGACAAAGAACAAGAAGATTGCGGGGAACAACGTTGGAGGTGTACGCAAGGAGAAGAAGAGCGAGTACAGGCAGTACATGAACCGACAGGGCGGCTTCAACAGGCCATTGAGTCCAGGAAGATAGAGAGAGAGAGAGAGGGAGAGAGAGAGAGCATCCACAGGGCGGTCTCGGCACGCAGCATCAGCAGGACCACCGTAATGAGCCTACACTGTTAGAGTACAAAGCCTATGCGCCGATGTTCGGCTTTTAGATATCCAAATTCGCAGCACCCGATCCAACACCATACACATGTCTATGCAGAACTTGTTGACCCAGGCGCCGTCGGCGATGAGGCTGGTACCTTCCCTTCCCTGGCCTCAGCCTTTAATGCACTCTCGAAGATATCCACCGATATGCTCGTGTCTACGAACTCCTCCAGCTCCTCCGTGACCGTTCGCAGCTTCTCCTTGACGGCAATGGCGCCCTCAAAGCCGACGATATGTCGAGCAGGCGGGTTCTCGTGCCCGCCAATAGCTGTCAGGGCGTGCACTGTCTCCATGACGAGTCGATCGGTGGCGGCGGCAGGCAGACGAGGGTAGCGTGACTGGACCTCTGTCTCGGAGGGCTCGATGGCCGTTTCGGGATCTGCGTTGAGAACATTGGCGAGCATGTCACGAATGCGCGGCGCAGGCGCCTCGGGGTCGTCGTTGTGCAGCTGTGGCACGAAGATGATGCGGTTTGTAAGGGACTGGATCTCCTTGTTCGGCTGCACGATGGTGACCTTGATGTTGAAGGGCGCGATCTCGTAAG